CGAGCGATTGTTACGGAAGCAATTATTTATTGCAGTGCTTTAAAGAAGAACAATTAAGATTAATTTGATTGAATAATTAAAATTAGACTTAAATTTAAATAATATTAAAAAATATGAAGTTTGCGAGGGAAAAAGTAAATGTGTTTTGATAGATACAAAGCTTGTTTATTTTTAGCTACAAAATGTTATGACAATGCTTAATGACAATTATTTGGCAATAATTTTGAATAAGTGTATAAAATTGTAGCTTAACTCATAAATGATAATATTTAAAAACTGATAATTGGAAATGAATTGAAATTTAGGAATGAATAAAATTAAATAGCAAGCGAATAAATGCATGGAAATTATTTGAACGAGAAACGAACTTGCATTGATGAAAAAAGGACAAATTCATTTATTCATTCATTCAGTCAGTCATTCATTTCGAATACTTTTTAAGGAAATTTGAAAAAGAGAAGCGCGGATGACAGAGTAAATAGGTCACAATTAGTTATTTTTGCAACTCGATCAACGTGAATGATTCGAGAATAACTCGAGAATGCCCGCGTACTGCACCTCACTTCACGTTAAATGTAGTAACGATATTCACGCAGTGTTAATGTTGCTTCTGCATGGAAAAATACGCATTTCTTAAAAATAAGCTTTTCTAAATTTAAATTTGGAAGTGAAAGGATTCTTAGAGAATAACTGAATTCAATTAATTAAAGTGAACGAACGGTTGAATGAGACTGATAAGCGATTATAGAACAATTTTTAAAACTATTCTAGTTTAGTCTATAAATTATTGTCGTAGACTATAATACTAGACTAAGATTAAATTCGAAAATTTATTCCAATTCTTTTCAGTCTTTGAATAATTTTATATGCTAGGAAAAATATGCAGAAAACATGCAAATTTTCAATCGCAATTCATGTATTACTTTTTACGTTTACTGAACTCAGTCAATTCTTTCCTCATATTATTATACCCTTTCAAAATGATCACTCTTGTTTTAACTCCAAAATTATTCACAAAGCTAGCAGAACATTGTGCAATATTTAGCTTATAAGCTTTCAACAGCCATTTAAATAGTATTTTTGTAATAAAATTTGAGAGAAAATTTCAAAAATTACTCAAAAAATAAAACTTATAAGGCATCACAACGAAAACATACTGACCTTGCAGCTAAAAGATTTGCCTGCCAGTGCAATTTATATTTCAAATTTCCCATCAACGTCTAATATTTTTTTCACTTTTAATAGTTTCATATAGATTTATAGAAAAATCGTATGAAAATTAAATTAAGCGATTCTTTAAGTTGTTCGATCATTCGATCATTTCAGCATGACCCTGACATGATTTGCATGTAAGAGCAAATAAATTTAGCATAGATAATCCTTTCTTTAAATCGTCCTAAATATTTTACAGATTGGAATGCTTTGGCCTATTTTAATTGCTTTTGCGATGTGATCAAAAATCTACAAAAGTCATAAAAATGACATTTTAATCAAATCAAATCGACAAGACATTATCAGATTCATTTTAAATTTAAATGCAGTACAAAATTTACTATTCATTTTCACTCAGCTTATTCTAATGACCTTTGAACCTTTGTGAAAGTTTTAAGCCAATAAAATGCTAATTTTGATTCGTCAGTACAAGCTAATTGAGACTACAAGTAAGAAGTTTTCATTATTCAACTTTTTATCAGTTATGATAACAGTGAAGCATCTATGCTAAATTTACTGAATCAATTCTTTTTTAAATCTTTTCATGTCAAAAAAAAAAAAACTGAACAAACTAATTGAAAATGACTCAAACAACCTGTACACAATGTACTTCTCATAGTTATCCTTCAGAACAACTTGTAAAGTACTTCTAGATTACTTGAATTCTGACGTAGATTTGCATCTTTTTTCACTTTCATTCAAATTACTTTAAGTTTTATTTGAAACATTTCGTCTGCATGTCATTATCGGTCTTACAATTACAAGCTTGTCTAAAATTTGCATATTTTAGTAGACATAAATTAATAAGAAAAAATATTGGCTGTTATCAATCATTTTGTGTAATAACATTTTAGCACGGTCAGTTTTGTTGTCATTTCTCAAATTATTCAATTCAAACAGCAAAATTTACAACAAACTTGATGAGTTTACTACTTGCAACAGATAATTTCAATTATTTGTCCATTTGCTTTATTTACTTGCTACCTTTACTACCACTAATTAAGCAGCACTCGTTGAATACTAAATTAAATTTTTGGTATTTTTAAAGAGAAAATTCTGCTGAAAACTTTTACAAGTTACCAGAAGAGAAAGTACCTGCTTTTGTACCTTTTGTTCTTTTCTTTTGTATTTTTGTAAGTTTGGACTTCAAAGAAATCGCAGAAAATTAGTAAAGAAAATGCATATTAATTGCTTGAAATATTAAAATAATACAATGTATTCTATTGCAATGTAATATAAGCTAAAGTGTATTTGTAAGTGATAAGACTGATTTGAAAGTTTGTTTACTTTCAGGAATTTAACTTAATTAAAAAATAATGTCCACTTTGTGGTAAAGTGAGCAACTTTCGTGAGGCGTAATTAAATAAAGTTGAAATAACTTCACATGTATATTGTCTTTGCTTTATTTTTAAGTTATTCCTTCTGTAAATAATACGACAAGAGAATCTGCTCCATCAAGTTTATTTTCACTGCTGTAGTCTATTGATGCGTTAAACTGCTGTAGTCTATGAATGGATAAAATAACTTTTATAGCTTATGTTAATGTGAGATTAAAAATTAATACTGCCAGAGCTTACTTCAGACATAGCTTCATTTAGGTCAAATATGATAAAGGACACTGTGCTTGAGTAACTGTTATAGTAAATAATCGTTGTTAAAATGACTTGGGAAACATTTGGCTTCATTGGTACGGTAACTACCTCCGCCTTCTTGGCAACAATGTGTGGCCGCAAAAGAAAGGTTGAATATTATTGTCTAACAATATAAATATCAGTTAATGCTGACGGTTGTTTAGAATATTTAATAAGTTTACTTTTTTAAAGAAGTCAAAGGTCAAAAGAATCTGTGGTTTGGTTCTTTTTTTGCATTACAAATCTTATGCTGTTTTAGTATATCGCAACTGTAAACGTTTGATTGCTATAAATGTTAGCAACAATGCAAGGAGAATGTCTAAAATCAGTAATGATAACTTTACAGAAGAAAATGCCACAGGAATCGATGATGGAACCATTTTCGATCAGTGAACTTTTCGATGAAGAGGTCATATTACTATATTTGCTTAAATAATATCCAAAACACTTTATACAATTTAAAATTGTTCAAAATTGGTTTAATTCACTTGGTAGAATCAAATTAGTAACTACCTTATGATTATTTCTCTGACAATGATGAGTTTATCACTGTTTTATATTTACAGCCTAATATTTATCATTTTTGCTTTACTGTCACTGCAAACTTACTTTTGTATTACTGTAAAAATAAAATAAAAGTAGAAATCACTAATAAAAGAATTTAAGGACCCAAAAAAATTGGCGATAGAAAATGCAGATTTGGAGAAAAACGAACTTTCGAAGAATAAGGATGAAAAAAGTGGTAATAACAGTGCAAGAAAAGTAGTAGATATAAAAGTAGGAAAGTAATCTGCGCAAAAATAGATCTAACAGTTCAGCTAGATAGTTTAATTACAAAAAGAGTAGCAATCCTTCGAGTAATAAAAAATAGCAAGTACAAGAAGGTTAAAAGGTCAAAAGCAAGTCAGACAACAGGACAAAAGTTAAAGTTAATCTCATTATTTACAATAAAAAAAATCTTCTAGGAAAAATAAACTCAATTAATTAAAGAATTAAATTTTGGTAAATGTGCCGAATTAAACAATGATTACAGAGGAAAAAAAGCAAAAAATAAAAAATAACAAAAATATATTTGAAGGAAAACAAGCAAAGGGTGAAGCTAGTGGACAACTGATGATGCTAAATGAAGACAAAGTAAGCGTTTAAATTATTATTCACGTCTACAAGTACTGTATAAGTTAACATTTTAGCACGACAATAATAAAAATTGACAAAGACTTTTCAGGAAGCTAAGAACACAGTACCAGACAAATATTCGCTGAAAAATATACCTGAAATTGTAGAAGCCGAAGAAAGTACTGATATAGAGAAGATAAATTTTAGCAAAGAAAAGGGGGAAGAAAAAATGAATAAGCAAAATGAAGCTGAGGTTAAGAAGCAAACTGAAATTAAGATCGGTGAAGCTGGGGTTAAAAAGCAAACTGAAATTAAGATCGGTGAAGCTGGGGTTAAAAAGCAAAATGAAATTAAGAGCAGTGAAGCTTGGGTTAAAAAGCAAAATGAAATTAAGAGCAGTGAAGCTGGGGTTAAAAAGCAAAATGAAATTAAGAGCAGTGAAGCTGGGGATAAAAAAACTATAGCAGAGTTTGATTTGAGTACTGTAATCGGACGTGAGCCAACAGAACTGTATTATGCACTAAAGGGTGGCAATCGTAAAGTTAAGATCACTAATTATACAGGACAGAGACAAGCTATAAAGGTATGACTTTTCTTATAAATTGCTGCACTCAAAAATCTCTCATTTTGATTAATACAATTATGTCTTATACACAGTTATTGCACAGTAATGCTTTAATTACACTAGGTGAAATGTTCAAACAATCAACGTTATCGAGTAAATCCGGTATATTCATTCCTAGAAGCTGGTGCAGTAAAATATGTTGACGTTTCTTGTCTTCCAGGACGCGCTGCATTTGATAAACTTGTGTTCATTTACACACCGGTATGCAATACAGTATGAGCTTAAATTTTACATTCGACCTTGTTTTTACGACAGAAAATTAAAAAAAGATTTAATGTAGATTGTGAGATTCTATATTTTGCTTACAGTTCAATTTTGATCTCCTTTTAATGACTTTAAATCTAGCACAATTTAAATCAAAATTAATTTTCAGGCTTTACCGAATGAAGTTAATGCATCATCACTATTTAACAAATCAAGAAAATATATGACTTTTGAAGTACCAATAAATGTTATCTCAGACCAATAATTATGCTAAAGGTATTGCTACTGAAAGCAATAATATACTGTAAATTATAACATACCCATAAAAAATGCTTGACAAATAGCGGTATGATAATGCTGGTAACACGGGACAAGCAATTAGACTGAAGATTACCTTAATTTGAGAAGTTTTCTAGGTCAGACCAATGGGTTAATAACGTACGTTACCAAAACTTACGAACATCTTGAATTCTAAAAAAATAGACATCACACGTTATTTGTGACCATGACAGTTCATATGGAAGTCAAAGTTATAACTTCTCTGATGGTGATCCTAGAAATGTTAGATAGAAGAGTTTATAAAAGAAAACAATAAGAAAGACCAAGTTTGGAAAAAGTCGAAACAATGAAATGTTTACAGTAAATCATAATAAGAAGTGGCATAATTCAACGACGTGAAATCCGGCAAACGAAACCAAGACTCAACATGCAAGCTTATTCTGACCATAAAAAGCCAAAGTCGACATACTGTAATCAACTTAAATAGCTCCAATCACAGTACAATGTATGAAATAAAATGCTTTTGACCGTATCTTGTAGACTATGGTAAAGATTTGATCATAAATAGTTCACAAACTGCAAGCGATTACAAATTCATACTGCAATCAAATCCGTACTGATAATTCTCTGCTCACAAATCGTACGAAAGTTTTTCATCTTCAAAGTCAATTACAAAAAAACTGCGATAATTATAAAATCCTTATGCATTCAGTTTATTGATTCGTTCTTCCAGATTTTCAATATTTGTGCAGAGTTTTTCTATAGCAGAATGAGTTTGCTGACGAAAGTCAAATAACATCATTTCCTCTCTCTCCACTGTTTTTATTAGCTGTGCGCGAATTCCTGTCAACAAACTCAATTTCGCTCCAAACTGTTCTGCTAAAATTTGTTAAATTATGCACAACTCTTAATATCAGTATTATAAAGTGACAATAGTAACAGAAATGATGAAGAGCAGTTTTTTGTGCCCTTACTCTGCACAATGGAAATCGAAATGTTCTATATTATTTCTTTAATTAACCCAATTTTTTATTTCCTAACAAATTTGTATTCGCTGAGCACGAATAACGTAGTATGTCCTACAAGATGTTTTTCAGCAATAAAAATGTACACTCAAATTTCACTATTTAAAACGATCTTTGTGAGTCACCTTTTCAAGAGGATAAGTTAATAAATAAGAAGAAAATAAATACAGCAAAAAAATCGCAATAACAAAGTCATAGGTTTAGACAAAAATTGAATACCCTGTTCATGAAGCATTCTCAAATCATGCATGCGCTTCACCGCAGATGATAATCCAGTGCAAGTAGTATCCCATCTGTTCATCATCTCATATAATTTATTAACTTTTTCTTCGAATTCTGAATCACTTTTCTCCTTCTTCTTTTCATCAATCTAAAACATAAAGCATTTATTCATCTCCAAGTAGCAGTTAAAAAATTAAGACATATAACATTATTGAAAATTTTAAGTCAATACGACTTAATAAGTAGTTGTACAAATCAGCCTCCATTGCTGCTCTATATGTTTCCAATTCAAATTTCTTTCATAACCATAACTGGTATTGGATAAGATGTATCGTGAAATTTCGATCTCCACAAAAAATATTAAGTATTAAATATATGAAAGAAATTTGCTTCACAACTATTTAAAATTCAGAAGAAATATTTGCAAGAAAAAAGATAAAAGAACGCATACCTGCTGAAACTTGGAGAGTATCTGCGTCATACGTGAATGAAGACCATCAACATGAGCTGGATGTAGCAACTGAACACGCATACGTAAATCTTCAACCGCCTCGGCAATAGGCACTTTTGTTGTTTTTTCGCATTCTTCAGAACCTCCTGGACCATTTACCATTTGTTCCAAACAACTTATTCGGTTTTCTAAAGCTACTAGTCGTCCATTAACAACATTGTCTTTTATGGCAACGGCTGCATTTGATTCAGGATCGTTACAACTGCAATTTTGTAATTAAATCGTTTATATGACAATCAATTTTGGAGAAGCTTTTTATTTTTGAAATAAAAATCTCAAGTATGAAATTTTGAACTGAAAATTTTCGTTGTCACTATATAAAGAATAATGTACTCTTTTTCTAGATTATGAAAATAAAGTGAAGCGTTATCTCTACGGATCTGCATTGCTTTCAGTGTTTCCAATATTGCAAGTAAATCTTCTTCAGCGACAAAACTTGTATTTGGTTTTTCAAGCTCTTTCTGAAAACTTTCCAATAATTGATGAGATGTAAAACATATACTGAGATATTAAAAATATATGGTCATAAGGTATTTTACCGTTTTAGATTATTTTATATTACTGGATTCTTAATGAAGCCAACTAGAGAAAGTTTGAAAACTAAGTTTCACTTAAACGCCAAGATATTAGCTTATCAATATTGTCAGACCTTTATCTGCATAGCCTCTACCAGACCTTCAACTTCCAACTTTAAACGAGTGAATTTCTGTTCCAGTGTCTCTGTTTCATCTGCATATGGCCCAACAACTTCAAGCACATAGGAACCGCCACCATATCCATAACGTTTTCTACGTGCAACAGAATCTGAGAAATCTATAAAAAGTGACTTTGAGATACAAGATTTACTTTATTAGTCCAATCAAGAAATATCAACACCAAAATTATTCGGTAGAAAATTTATATTTATTGATACATTTTCCAAAGATGTAAGTATACGTTCATTTAAAAGTAATAATATCTAATTTTATTGCTCACACAATAATGGCGGCATAAAAATAAAACTGAAATACTTCTTTTTAGTGTTCTATTTTTTAATATATATAAAATTGCAAATATTGAAATGATAAAAGAATACAAAATTTACACAAAAGCAAAAACTATAAATTGAATAAAATTTAAACGTCAAATACTTTTTCAATCATTTATCTGTTTAAGATTAGAATTGCTTTCAATGACACAAACTTTATTAAAAGCAGTATGACCAAGCTATTTATAGTCTAAAAACTTACCAACGTTTTCTGCACTTAATAAACGACCTTTGAAACGCTTCATAGCATTATCAACATCGATGTGTACTCGCTCGACTTCTGCAAAAAATTTATGCGAAAAAAATGTTCAGATGAAATACTGAATATGCATTTAAATCAACAATGGACGACGTGAACAAGAGTTTCTTTCCATGCAGGAAATAATAATTCTTTTTTCGTGAAAAATAAAAATTCTGCACTAGCATATAATGTTTTTTTAGTATAGCAATCTCTATGCATCACATTTTTATGAAAATAAATAAAAAAATCACTGTCGAGTCACTACTGTATAGAAGTAAGCAAAAAAAGTCATGAAATGGTTAGCGCTGAAATCATAAGAAAATAAAAAAATACTTTTCTAAATAAAAACTTCATTTACAAATCAGTGAAAATTAATTTTAGAATGAATTAAAAATTAGTAAATTTTATTAACATAGTACTATTATAAAAAGCTTTAAACTGTAACGTTAGAAAATAACCTGATTCAGTAAAATCATCTTCAATCATTTGTTGATCATCTTCAGGTAGATCTTCTGTTTCGTATACATCTTCCTTTTGATAAGACATTTTCTGCGAGATTTCACTTCAAAATTATTAGTCAAATTATTTCAACATTATAATACTACTCATAGTACGTGTCACTGTATCTTAATTGCAAAGAAAATACTTTATTAAAAATATTCAGTACAATATGGAAGTGATTTTTATGAAGTACAACATTTTACAACAACATGACAGAATACATAAAACAAAAGTTTAGATAAGCATGAAATTAAGGTGACGACGTGAAGTACTGCCGTAATTACAAATTATGACTCGTAAACACGCAAATAATAAAAACTGCTTACACCATACTCTTCCGGGAAACAGCAAGAGGTTACTCACTTAGTAGTTTTTTTCATGAGACAACTATTTGCACAGTGGTTAGCACTTGGTGATTCTTAGTAAGCGTTTTCAATTCATATTGTTTACTTGCAGTAAGTTACTACTTGTATAGAAGTTTTTGCGTGAAGTACTCCTTTCGATTACGTGTTTCACTTTATTTTTCTGTCATTCTCTCTTACAAAATGATAATTATTCGTTTTTCCACTCGGTAATTCTCAGGTTATTTCTAGAATTCATACTTCATTTTCCTCTTATTAACTTGACTCATACTGTACACTTCTCTTTCATTCAATACAGTTCATCACTTACCTCACGTTACCATTCTGTTTGCTGGGTCAGTTAGCGATCGTCTTATCTATTCTAACCTGATTTTATTCCTATGCTTCTTATGCTATGCTTGATTTTATTCTTACCACTCAATTTTACAATGATATTTTCATTCTTCAAAAAATTCTGGTAATAATTATACTTACATATTTATCTTCAGTTTATTACAGAAATTTAGTCTTCTTAAGATTCATGAATTGGTATGTTCACTCTTATACTATTGCAGTGATAAGTGCTGTACATTTATTTATCTTATATTTTACTGGTTTTTCCTGATCGCCTGCAGCATACATGTCTGTCTTGAATGCAGTGCCGTGAGTTCATCCATTTTAAATCCCCTTGGAAAGTGCTCACATGTTTGTTTATCTCTAGCTAGCTGCCTAAATTCGATCACTTGTTTATGCATTCAATAAAAGCCGTAAACAGAGCATGCATATACGAGTTTTGGTTTATTGCTGAAATAATTTGCATATGAAAACCAGTCAAGAGATAGAAAATTTGTTTATTGAACGTGGTCAGTTTTTCTATTTGATAACTTTTTCATAATAAAAAGAGGGGTTTTTTATTGTACATTAACGATAGGAATTACTCTTAGCTTATTAATTAATTGAAAAAACTCTTTGCAAAGAAATTAATATTCATTAGTATGCTATTGAATGGAGAAGAATTTGCATGATTTGATCTCTTGACTGAAGTAAGCTTTCAATTACTTTATGAAAAGTTCGTCATTTTCTCTCATATCTCGATTACGTTATTGGATTACAATGCAAAAGCTTTAACGCTTTTTGCCGCAAAACGATATTTTTCAAATTATTGCATCAGTTTTGCATCTTTTACTTTGCAATCAGTCTGCATTATAAGTTTTGTGAATATGAAAATTTGCTCATTTCTTTCAGCATATTGTATGCACTTGTCATACAGTGATATTACTACTGAAAAAAGGCAGCTGTATAATGGCTGACCAAGCGATTGTACAATTGTCATCAATTCTTTGCTGCATCTAAAACTGTTACTTATCATTTTCACGACCGATAAGCAAATTACTTTAGTCATATTTTACAATGTTTTATGAACAAACTTTCGCTGTTAGCAATAAACATATGCTTCAATCATTTGTACTTTTACGCTTTTATTTATTTGTAGTTTCAAAACAGTTAATAAGATTTTTTGTAGATATTAAAGGCGACGGCGAGTCTAGTTGACGTGTGCGCGAACTAGTACCATCTATCCATCAATTCGCGTGGCCGTCCACATTTATCTCATCGATTAAATAATTTCTCATATTTTTTTATAATATGAGCATTTGGGTATTCCCAAGAAGGCGCTCACTTGTGTTAAAATTGCTGCTTGTAGTACCATCAATTTGGATATGTTCATTGCTATATTTTTCTGTTAATACAAAGGAATCAGAAAAGGTAAATTAGCAATTATTATTATGTTTTGGTGTGTTCTGTATAATATAGATAGATTCTGCGTAGCATTTGGTGAAATAAGTTATATATGCAGTAAATGTGGAAGTTAAAAATTTTTATGAGTTTATTGCAGCGAATGATATCATTCTCTCACTAAAGCCGGCGTTTTTAGATTTGCTGAATTTTTGTTTCATTGTGTAAGTATGTATTGAGGCAAACAAGAAATTTTTAATGTTTTGAATTTTTAGGTCAATTTCATGGCACATCCGAGAGATGTTCACTTGGGACGATCACATAAGTTAGAAGGGTTTGGTCCTCCAGTAATAGTCGAAGCGCCTAACAAGGATGAGCGAAATTCGCTTGACAAAGTTGCAGATATTGAGGCAGAAAAGGTTCAATTTTGCTTTAATTGCGCAAATTCATTTTTGGAAAAATTTTCAATAATTATTTCTGTCAGATTATTTTTGTTTTCCGTATTTACTTATTATTATTTTTAGTTACTCTTAAATTCAGGTGAATATCTTATTTTCAGCATTAAGAGCGCATGTTCATATTTTTGATTCTAGAATATTCGTAAACCTAATCAAGTATTGTCAAACCCGAATTCACCCATCTATAAAAAGGGTAATAAAGATCAGGCTGGTGAAGGTGGAAAAGCAGTTATAATTAACAAAAACGTGGGTTTCTAAGATTCAGGTTTTTTTAGTTTTTGAGGAATGCTCTTGTATTTTTTTTACAGTGAAGGATTCAAACTACATTAATATTATGACGTAAAGAAAAATTTCATTTTAGAATTTAACTTTTGATGAAAAACGACGTTACGACGAAGGGTTTAAGAACAATGCCTTTAATCAGTATGCATCAGACATGATTTCAATACATAGAACTTTACCTAGTTACATCGATGAAGAGTTAGTTGTTTCTTGATGAAAAAGAAAATATTGATATTTGCACTTACTAGTGTTGTCTTTGTTTAGTTTTCTAAAAATTTTCTCTTGTTAGAATCTGGTTCTTAACAATTATGGTGAAAATTCTGGTTCTCTTTGCTCTGAATATGTTAATTATACATTTAGCTTGCTATACTCGTTAAAATACTTTTTCAGATTCAATAGATCATCGTCATCAACCTTACATTTTAATTATTTCATAGGGCATTTATTGCTCAAATTTATTCTAAATTATTTACTAAATTGACTTGAGATAACTTCGGTTCTTGGATTCGAAAACATAAAAATTTTTTAAAATTCATTTTATTCTAATAATAATTGATCTGTTCATATAACAGATGTAAAGACGAAAAATATGCAAAAGATCTTCCGAACACCTCTGTGATTATATGTTTTCATAACGAAGCTTGGTCCGTTTTGCTAAGAACTGTTCATAGCGTAATTGAAAGAACGCCGGACAATTTACTCGCTGAAATTATTTTAGTCGATGACTACTCAGATATGTCGCATCTTAAGGTTTCTTTTTTTATTTTTTATTTCATTTTACTGATAAATCGTATAGTTCTAGCAAACTTCCGAAAAACTCATTTCTGATTTCTTCATAAACTCTTTTACTATAATTCCTTCTTTTTTAAAATCCTTGTTAAATGTTTTGAAAAACTCATTTAATTCGAAAATGCCAAATCTGTAATATTCATGGAGACAGTTGCTTTTCAGAAAGCTTTCTCCATTTCTGGTTTTCGAGGAAAGGAAAGAATCATAAAAACTTTTATTGCAGAAAGAATTAGATGATTACATGCGACAGTTTTCCAAAGTTCGTATCATACGATTACAAAGTCGTCAAGGTTTAATACGGGCTCGCTTAGAAGGGGCTAATTCTTCTATAGGTTCTGTAATAACATTTCTCGATTCTCACTGCGAGTGTTTAATAGGTATTTGAATTTGTGATTACGTTTCTAATGCTTGATGACATGGATAGGTTTTATTCTTCTTATTTAAATGAAAACAACTTCCTTTGTCTTCTTTTAAATTTATCTTTTTCTTTCTGTGATATATCAGAGTCTTGTAATCTGATTGAAGTACGTCAGTTTTATTATTATTAAAAGTTGTTAAGCAGAAATAATGTGGTTGGAAAAATGATTACGTAGTTGACCAGAGGAACTTTCAATCATTCCTAGAAGATTTGTCGTTCTTATAAAAATGTAAGCTATTAAAAATTTGTTTTTAATGCAGGTTGGATTGAACCCCTCCTAGATAGGATTAAAAAAAATCGCAAAACAGTCGTGTGTCCTGTCATAGATGTAATTGATGATAACACTCTTGAATATCATTATGCTAAAGCATATTTCACGAATGTGGGAGGTTTTGATTGGTCACTGCAATTCAATTGGCATGTGATTCCTGATAAAGATCGTAAGAATCGGAGGAACATTGATCCAGTTCGGTAAAAACTTTCAAAATATGAGATTTCTTGTCGACATTTACTTTCTATAAAAATTCAGTCATGGTTAAAAATTTAATATCACAAATAACATTGATGGAACGTGAAGTAGATAATTGAAAAATGCCAATAAGTAGTGTTTATTAAAAATTGAAAGAACATCGCTTTCCAAGAAGCGCTAAAGACGTGGTCATCAGAACCTTGCAGTTTATAGTTTTTTCTATTACTTTAAGAAATTTTAGGTCGCCAACGATGGCTGGTGGACTTTTCTCTATTGATCGTTCTTTTTTCAATGAATTAGGGACATATGATCCTGGTTTCGACATCTGGGGTGGAGAAAATTTGGAACTATCATTTAAGGTTAGCCTATTTCATATATTTAGATAAATGGATAATCCATCAACTTTTATTGCTTTTTTGTCACGAAATTTCAATGAAAACTGAGAATATATGCTTACGAAAGTGGTTTGTAATTCAGAGATGCAAAATCAACTAAAGTAATTATATCCTAAACTTCGTCTCATAATGGCTTTTCCTTTATTTTATACCGTGAACCGAGATCTGTTGTAGACGTGGATGTGTGGCGGAACACTAGAAATTATTCCTTGCAGTCACGTAGGTCATATATTTCGTAAACGTTCACCATATAAATGGCGGAGTGGCGTAAATGTATTGAAAAGAAATTCTATTCGGCTTGCTGAGGTCAATTTGCAGCTTTTATTATTCTTTTTTTTTTCGCCGATTTTGTAAAGTTTTACAAGATGCAGAGTAATAAGTTGGCTTCAATGGCCGGTCCAACATTGTGGTTGGAGACCTTACTCCAGGAGACGATACAGTCACAACCAGGATAGCAGTATGCTTGGTGCTGCACATGTATCATGACTATTCTAGAAGAAACATTGAAGTTGTGGATGCATCCTTTTAGCACTAAAAAGTATGTCCTGAAAGCTTGCATGCGAAACTGCTTTGTTCAGAGGATAGTCGCGAGTGAAATCATGGAAATAAGAGTCGATACGTGAGTAGCTATCAAAATAATTGTAGATTGACCAGATATCCTGTGCACGACAAGAAGTAAATAATCCTGCCATAGGTTGGGATCGCTAGTCAGAACAGGCTGATAGCAGTCAACACAGAAAAAACGAATAATCTATTGCTTGATAAACATAGGAAGGGATGAAATGAAAAATATTTGTGTATTTGATGAATGTGGGTGTAATAGTAACGAATTCTGTAAACATTACGTGAAGAAAATCAGTATATTTGATTACGTCAAGGCATATATCCAGTCGAAACTGCTGAAGAGGGAGGATGAAGCAGAAGAGACTAGCACGGCTGCAAATATTGCGATCCGCTGAGTTACCGAGCGACTGAAAAGGTATAGGATAAACGATAAAAAAACTCGAATTTGGGTGATTACTGTAAACAAATAGAAAACCAGATGAGGTTGTCGAAAGGACTGCATGAGGAATATGGGAAAGCACATGACGAGCGTACGAGAACCAGCAGTACAGAGTGCGGGATTTTTATAGCGAGATTGTTGCAACACGGTTCAGTGCGAAAATCAAGAAGACAGATAAGCAGATTAATCTCTGGTCTGCTGCACAAATTATTGTGTATATATTTAATCTGTTTTTCAAAGGATAGCGATACAAAATATGGAGTTACATTTTTTTATCAAAATGATGTAAATATGCTTATAGGTTTGGATGGATGAGTACAAAAAATATTTTTACGAAAGGATCAATAATGATGTGGTAAAAATTTTGTTTTGTCTTATGTGAATGATATTGATCCTAGATACATAAAGAAAACCAACACTTTATTTTACACTGCACTGAATCTCCTTGTGAAAATTAAGTCATGCTCTTCTATTTAATGTTTTGTAAAAAAAAAATGTATATAGAACTTTTGCATTAGCACCTAAATGATTTTTGTTTATTACAAGGGCGATTTCGGTGATGTCAGTGAAAGAAAAGCGCTACGTGAAAGACTGCAGTGTAAGTCTTTCAAGTGGTACTTGGATAATGTGTATCCAGAATTGTTTATTCCTGGAGATGCCATTGGAAAGGGAGAGGTATTTTACTATTTATTTGTAAAACGTTGATTTCGTTTGAGCATTTGAACTAATATTTTAATTTTTTTTCATACTAGATTGAAGTGTTGCAATTTGCTGAGCCTTATCTTCCACTGAAATCCATTTGTTTTAAGGGTTTGTAAATTTTTTTGGCGTCCTGCATTTATAACTTCAATGCTTCTTATCTAATTTCGATTCTGTGTGCATATGCTTCAACTTCATAGCATTTCTAGTTTAAAAAGCAGTTTGTTGCTCGCTCATATTGTTGTTTTGTAACCCATATTAGTCTTTTTGAGTTTTCCATTTTAGTATATAAGTAATGTATTCTATTGATGAAAAGTTGTTCAGAATTTTGCTTCTGGAACCAGCTATATATAATTGCTAATTTATATATATGGAAGCGTTCCTGCGCATGCGAAGCCATTCTGTTCAGGAGGTCGTCACGAATATGAACGTTGAAATCACAGTTAATACGCGAGTGGAAACAGCTATAAAGATGAGTGCAGATTGACGAATATCATGATCCACGATAAGAAGCATCATAAAGTAATCCTGATCGAGCTTGGCATCACTAGTCAAAACAGGTCGACAGCAGTCGGGATCGTGAAAATATGATTTACTGGCATATAAATTCAGAGATGAAATCCAGGACAAAATAGTTTCGTATGTGATGACTTGAGAGGTCGTAACGAACTTTCATAAATACTGCGCTAAGGGGATCAATATGTCTGATCACGTTGAGGAATATATCCAATCGATAGTGCTCAAGAAGGCGGTGAAAGCATCTCATGCAGTGACTGCTACTGATTTCACGTAAATTAAGTAAAAGAGATCAGCACGACAAATTTGAGTGTGGGACAAGTACAGCCAGAATGCCGGAATACGATTTAGTCGTAGCATCAATAGAGCAGAAAAGAAGACTAACCTCATTTTTTTAAATATATATATAATATCCAATGAATATAAGTATAGCTCTTGTTTTATCTAGCCTTAAAAAGTATTGAGATTTCGACTGTGTACAGCTTCTGAAGCTAATCTTAGTGAAGTCTTTAAATTAAATTTTAATGACAGAATGCGTTTCATAATCGTTATTGCTGAAATAGAATTCTAATACTTTGATAAATTCTGGTAGTATATTCTAGTTTTCAGCTTTTCACTACGAATTTCGTTTTTTGGATCACATGATATTATAAATTTATAGTACAGTGAAAAGAGGAAATGGAAAGAAGATATTTGGAGAGAATCACTTTCAGATTCGTAACAAAGGCGAAGTAGGAGGGTTTATTGCACATCACTGCTTGGATAGTGAGGTGGGCGAAGATGTTCAGAAACCAGTGTCTGCATTTCCGTGCCACAGTAGTGGTGGCAACCAGGTTACATAATTGCAACATTAAATGATTTGGTCAAGTAAATCAACTATTCCGGCGATCCATAAAATGCACGTTTCTGTAAAAAGGGCACTTTGCACATTTTGTAGCCAAACTTTCAGTGTCGTGAAAAATTTACACTGAGTTTTGATATTACTTTGGATTACTTGATTTTCGGCAACTGGCATGCTAGTATGTGGCTACAATTGTTTGTTTCAGAAATATTGCCCACGTAGTGTTTACGGGATTCTGCGCATGTTCTTGTAGTTTTTTCGTACGTAACATAAAATACGCCTTCAGTTCTGCGGTTGTGGTTCTTGTTGCTTGCAGCTTCTGTCCTTTTTATAATTGCGTGTTTAATATTGCAGTTATTCATTCTGTCCATGTCCATATTTTCTATGTATTATAATCACCTCAGCAGTGCTTTTTTGATTCATTTCTCTTGTTAAAAGAAACAACAGTTGAATTTAAATTGTTTCATGTTCTCTTTAAGTTACATTAAATCTTTTCTATATGTGTGTACGTAGTTCATTTTTTTCGTCAGCGACTAACATAAGATTCTATAGATTCGCAATAAAGGAGGTGGATCGAAGAATTGTTTAGATTGGTCTGCACATGGGAAGAAAAAGCCATCTATTGTGGGTCTGTACTGGTGTCATAAAATGGGTGGTAATCAGGTATCGTTCTCAGTTTTGCTATACTTTTTAGTTGTATTGTCACTTATTACATTTGTTCTATGTAGAGAAATTTCTTCATGCTTTTGTTACGTGAGTTCATTATTGCCTGTGATGAATTCATTCTTTACTTCAGTTAGTATCAGAATTGGATCATTTATTCATTTTCTTTAATATATGTTCGAATTTCATTTTCTAATTTTTCTCACTCAACTTTTATCAGAAAAACATTTCAATGGCAGGATTCAGATATAGCTTCATCTAGATCATAAGTGCATCAGAGAATCCAAACAATTTATAAGATAGAAACTTTTTTGTTTTTATTATACTTAATTCTTATATTACCTTTGCGCTAGCTTCATTTATCATTCGTTTCTATTCCTTTCAGCATCATTTGTATCAATTTAAAATGAAATTTAATTATTTCTGTTATGGATCTTCTCAGTTATCTTTCCTCTATTATGAATGCTGCAAGCACAAAAATCTACCTGCTACTTAATTCTTTGAAACAAGTTTAAATATAGTCGTAAATGTTACTTATATGAAATTTAGTCATGAGTAGCCGTCATCCTTTTGCGCAGATTCCTGAGTGTGTTCGTAGAAATGCATATTTATTTTGTACGGAGTTTCTTAAACTATGATTTCAGTTTTGGATGCTAAGTAAAAACGGTGAAATACGGAGAGATGAATCTTGTGTTGACTATGCTGGTACAAATGTTATGATTTATCCATGTCATGGAATGAAGGGTAATCAGGAATGGAGATATTTTCCCAATGTAAGTCTGATCTTTTACTTGCTGATCTTAATGTAGAATGATTATTAGAATTTTAGTAATCATTCATCCATAGTTAATCTTTAAAATTCCAAGAATCAGAAAATTTTTTTTGCTTTTTCAATTAATCATATTGATTTCTTTGGTTTTTTGAATAAAATGTATAAAGGTTTTCGTGTATAGATCGGTCGAATTCATCATATTGTCTCGGAAAAATGTTTGGAAATGTCGAAAGACGGTGCATCATTGTTAATGAGCTCGTGTGATCAAACAAATCCTTATCAGCAGTGGTTGGTCCAGCACTTCAATGAAACGTTAGCTGGTCATTATAAACTACTGTAGATTTACATGGCAACCTGTTGTGAAATCAAGGTTCTATAAACATTTTAGTTCATATCAGTAAATAATAGGATTTATATTTGGTTTATATTTAGTCAAGGTTAGGTAAAAATTGAAATTGTCGTAGACAAGGCGAAAAAGTTATAATATCTTTAGCTTTATTACTGTGTGTTTTAATCTGTTCTCGGGTGATCGGGGGTATTTACCGGTGTTTCATTGTTTTGCGAAAGCAAAATAAATAAATTGTTTTCATTAAAAAACGCAAGTCTGATTTGTGTTATGTATCATTGTTTTATAAACCATTGAGGTTATAATTATGTTTCACATCATTTTACTTTCATTTTTTCAATAGAGAATTGTTCTCATTTCACTTCTGTTATTGTTTCGGGAAAAACTTGTGTGCGATTAACTATTCCATTATATCATTGTGCTTTCTCATTCATCTTGGAATTTATATCTCATTCCTTAATTTTTTTAAAATGATTTACCGGTGCTGAGGAACCTGTGTATTTCTGTATCTCTTTTTTCAAGTACATATTTTATTCTGAATAATAGTATGACTTTCCAGTGGTCCCTTTTTTTCTAATTTCAAACTCTTAACGTGTTTCGCCCATTAATAACTTAAACTCAGATGCAAAGTCAAAAATTCCTCAAATATTTTGGGCATCAATTAATTTTTGGAAAATTTATGTGCTTTTGGTTTGATTTTTCTTCTTTGTATCTGATAAGATTTTATGAGGATGAAAAGATTTTGCTTTCGTGACGGTTCGTGCATTAGTATGTCATATCATACAACCGGCATTCAAAAGTGCTCGCCTTACTCATCTGTGATATTCCAGTCTTATTGTTATAATCACTTATCTATTCTATCGGCTCTTTCACTTTCGTTGCATCATTTGTGTTATTTATAAGCATTTACATTCTAATTTATTTTTATTTTCATGCGCAACTAGCTATAGAATTAGTACAAAAAGATCATCTTCTTTTATCTAAATCTGTGTAAATATTTTCGGAAACAAAATTTTTCGAAGATTTGCTTCGGACATGATGTAAAAAAGTGGAAATTCAGATTCAAGATATGCTAATTAACCACTCATTTTCTGCGCCTGTCATTGCCGACTAGAAAACTGAGGCAAACTGTGTCGCAGATTTTTATTTGGTTTTCATTTGACGGCGCACTTTGTTGTATTTCTGTGATCATCTTCAAGTCATTTTAACAGCAGTTATGAACCTATATCGAACTCTTTTAGGCTCCTACAAATTCAGAAATGTTTGAAATTCTCAACTGATAACAGATTTCTTCTTTTAAGATCATCAAATATTTATTACTGCAGTCAGTTGACTATGTTTTGTACTGCGCTTTCTTCAAGGGATTTTAAAATTATGAAGCATTTTCCATAAATTTTCTTACTTTTAAAAACACAGACTTATTTTGAATTTATCAGAAATTCGGAAAGATTATCTATATATAGTCATGTATTGCTTGGTGTTATTTGACTTGATTTGATGTTTTCACTTATTTGTTCTTGTACCATTTGATTTTACAATTATCGTTATTATTCGTGCCTTTTTTTGTTTGAAAATTTTTTGGGTAAGTAAAGATTTGGAAGGAAAATATTGAACAACAATATGAGGATCATAGTAAGGACTGTTCTGCTGGGTTTATTTTTTTTATTGCAGGTGAGTTCATATTCTTATCATTTTCAAGTTTTTGATAATTGCATGGGGTTAAAGATATGGATTATGGTTTTTATCGATCGTTGGTTTGTGGTGCTGCGGCAGGCTTTGCCGTTGACATGACTCTTTACCCGCTGGATACAGTAAAAACAAGACTTCAGAGTGCTCAGGTTAGGCCCAGTATGATATGAAACTGATGTATTGTAGCTCCTGTAAAAAGGTTGTGAGCTCCTCCATCCCACTAAAATAACTAGTCAAGTTTATACAGGGCACTCTTTTTTAGAAGTCAAATAAAATAACATAAAAGGAATGCAGCATGCCATTACTATAAAGACTAGTTGAATTTAGTAGGATGTACTGTGATTTACCCCACATATTTGTTAAGGAGAAATTTTTGGAACAGATAACAGCATGGAAAGATCAATCCATGTATTCTCTTCTTTGTTATCAAAAGTTAGAGGAGTGAATACTCACTAAGATGGCAGTGTCATTTATTGCAGGGCTTCAGTGCTGCAGGTGGTCTACGAAATGTGTATCGTGGGATGGGTTCGGTTGCTGTTGGTTCTGCACCCGGAGCTGCACTGTTTTTTTGCAGTTATAATTTCTTAAAGCAAGCAGCTAATAAAGAAAGCGAGTAAATAATAATTAAAATGTCGATGTATCATTTCATTTTTCCTGATGACAATTCATGGAGTGAAATTTTGTATAGACCTAATGAAATAATTATAGCAGTTGCTGTAAATGCATGTGCTGCCAGTTTTTCGGAAATCGTGGCATGTGTCGTACGGGTACCTACTGAACTGATAAAACAACGGGCGCAAGCAAGACAAGTGCATAATATCAGCACTATATGCCGGAAGATTTACAGTCAAAATGGTAAAATATAATCATGCAAGTTGTTTAATGACGCTTCATTGAAATTACAGTTAATACATGAACGGTACTACCATCTTTAGTTTTTTTTGCTTAGCTGTTGTAATATTGACTGTATTTGATTCTAGCTGAAAGTCTCAGAACTAGAAATGTGCCAGTAATCTCTTTTTCCGCTGTGAATCTAGTTTCCTGATCAATGTTTTCTTATGATGCAACTACAAAGACTTTTAGGACTTCGTGGATTCTATCAAGGTTTCTTTAGCACCGTATCCCGTGAAATTCCATTTTCATTTATTGAGTTCCCTTTATGGGAACTTTTGAAACAATTGGTAACGAGGTTAGTTCCAAACTTCTTTATCGCCATTACGTTTTGTTAGTCATAATGTTGCTTGTAGCGACTTCGTTAGCACTGCTCGTACAGATTTAACAAAGCATAACCAGAGTTCACGATATATGTAGTAAAAATTCTCAAAACGAAGCATGAAGCTTGATTTATCTTCAGTAAGTAGGGTTTCTGTTGATTGTATCTTAAATTTTACGGGCAAAAAGATCTTTTCTTCTGGATATGCTAAATTTCTACAGAGTTCGAAAGAAGCACAGCACAACACCACTTGAATCTGCAGCATGTGGTAGTGCCGCAGGAAGTGTTGCCGCAGCTATAACGACACCTCTGGATGTGGTGAAAACACAAATAATGTTAGACGATAGTACCTCACGGGTAAGTACATCATCAACAATGGCAAGAATTTGGAGAAATTCTGGATATCGAGGGCTCTTTGCTGGTCTCATTCCTCGTTCAGTCTGGATGGGCATTGGAGGCTTCGTTTTTTTTGGTGCCTATGAAGCAACCACATTACTTACTGAAAACATACTTTCGCAGCCTTAATTACATTGTTACTTACTTTGTAGTGTACTTATGGAAATGATATATATTTGCTTGCAAAACACAGTAAATACCGATTCAGAAAGTCAAATAATGCGCTGGGTAGAAAGAATTTACAGAGCAGAAAAAAAAAGTTTAATTACAGTGGAAATAACATTTCTTAATGTAGAGATTAATTACACGTACATAAGTTTAACCGGAATCGTTTATATAACTCCCACTACTTGTTTAGATCAATCATCGTGCCACAGAAGTCATCTTCATCCACAAAATCAACCAATATCACATTAATATTGGATCGATAACGATGTCCATTCTAAAAAATTCGATATTTCTTTAAGTCGTAAACAAAGAACTACAAGCATATATTAGTTTTAAAAAGATATTGGAGTAGTAATAATGAAGTCTTGGTGAAATAACGTGATTTTCAGCACAACAACTCTAAGAAATTGGTTTTTACTGACTGCGGAAATTTGCAACTGTGTTAATTCCAAATTAAGAATTCACTATAACTTGAAATGTATTCAAAAGGAAAAGATTTCGAAGGAATAACCCGTCTTAGCCAATCAACTAATTCTCTAGTGGCACGTCGTCCGAATCTCGCCTCGAACGTTCCGGTTGGCTGACGAATGATTGAATTTACAGTCAATGTCACAATTGCTTGGCATACCTTAAGATTTCAACTCGAAATGTTTAAGGAATAGGATTTTTCAAGCTGAAGGTTCGTGCAATTTAAAATAAATCAGGAGTAAGAGTTGTTTGGAAAATTTTGTCGCTATTTTATGTTTATAATGCCTTTATATATTCATTCGTATTCTACTCCGTCATAATCAATCACTGATTGGTACTGAAATTAAATATTTCGGAGCATTCACTTACCTGGAAACCATTTTCGAGTACCCTCGACTGTATAATCTGTGCTACTTCATCAACCATACGCTTAGCATCATCTGTTTTAGGCCAAGGACTTTTAATAAATTGTCGAGTCCATACATGATTCGGTAATTTGATGGTCTCAGAAGGACCAGCATGTCCATTGATATCACTTGTTCTCGTGGGTGGTAGTGATGGTTGGTAAAAGATGATCACCTGAAGTGTTGAAAGTGAGATTTCAGACTGAAAGCTTCTAATCTTGCCTTAATGTCACTAATCTTCCAGAAGAAATATATTTTTAACCTGTATGATAAAATAAGTCAAGTAAAATATATTCACACATTCAAGAAATATTTCACGAACCCTTCCATCAGAACTCCAGATCTTATTCAGTGTGTAGCTCATAGCTGTTCTCAATGACGTAGGTCGACTGATTAACCGGTCACCAAACAAATTACTGATCATATCCAGTAGTTTGCTGTGTTGTTGTTCCCGAAATTCATAAAAGTGATTGATGTCAACTAGTACTACTTCTTTCGGATGCAATGATAAAAATTCATCTACTCGTCTGAATAGATCTACAATGAGACTTACAATTGATATAAATCAGGCGAAGATATTACTAAGTATATGTTTAATAAAGGAATGATGTGAGGAAAAGTGATTGTCATAAATAACTGGCTAAATTAATTGAAGCGAAAAGAATTGACCAACATGACATGAAAAAGTAAATGAAATTGATCTCAAAAATGCCATTAACAATAACTAAAACTAAAGTTTTGCAATATCCATTAACATTTTATCAATGACGAACAGATGCTGTTTAGGGAATATATTCGTTTCAATTTATCAAATTTAAGTATTATACTAATGAAAAAATTCCTTCTCAGCAAGTAAAAACAGTCTACCTCTGACTTCCATAGATCTCAATCCATTCACAACATAAAAACTTTCATTTATGTAAGCCACCTTAACATCAAGAAAGCGAACACCATTTTCAAGCTGAAGTTTTAAATATATTTCTCAAATACACTCATTCTCAATTTGAGATTGGCGTATGGGACCTTTTTTATCATATAATAATGATGATTTGAAACATTTATAACATTAAAATTTAATTAGATGTAAATTAATAGGAAAAAATGGTTAATCGACTGGTACCTGTTCTCTAATTGACATTGTTTGCACCTTGGACCAGTTGTACACTGCTTTGCGAATCATATCATTTGAATTGAGTACTCGCACACACCATGCCTGGTCAGGTGTTATCTCACCATCTTCTTTTAAACTACATGTACCGCTTAGATGAGAACCTGAAATCAAGTGAGCCATCTAAAACTAAAGCAGTGAGAGTTGATAATCATACAAGGGAAATATTCACGACAGATTTCACTGATGTTTTGAAAAGAGATACCACTCTCAAAACTGACTTAATAAAGTTTAGGCATGGTTACATTGCACGAGGTGAACTCACTTAATTTCACCTGGAATTGCAAGCGTCATTAACGGTTTATCTCGTGCTGCAACTGGCAATTCTGACATCCAATTAGCCATCTTAATTGCTTATAGATAGATTGTTTTCAGAATCACCTGCAACACTTTAACTCAACACTCCTTGCATTACGCATTAAGACCTAACCACACATCCACATAAACATCATTATATTGAGATTCACATCGATTCAATAAAATCTTTGAGAAGTAGCAAACTTTGACTCTGAATGCCTTCTTTCAACTTCAACATCAAATATAAATATTTGTCAACTCGAAAAAAAAAAACATCATGTTAACATGCAGATCGATTGGACAGAATTTTCAGGCAATTTACCATGTCTAACATTAAGCTTGCAATACAAGCACAATATCCCGTTAACTTTGACCTCTGCACAAGAAGCACTTGCAGTTGCTCTTTTGACCCTCAAACTTTGACTAGTAAGAGAGTGCCAATGTTAAAGGAATTTTAAAAAAGGTGAATAGGTTAAAAGCATCCAGAAAGTGTGCTCTTGTTTGCTGTATGCGACCACGAATGAATCAATAATACTAGTGGGCGAGAGTAAAGCAGCTAGAGAGTGTGACTAAGAGGTACCGAAACGCACCAAAACAACAACACATCACATCCGATCACTGCACTCGCTTCTCCGTGCACATTTGCATCTGCTCAGTGTGATTGATAGTGTGCTCTGCTTTATTTGTTTATGCGCAAGAAATCATCGCTGTGAAATGTGTCAACAAGTTACGTGAGAAAAACGTCAACTTCTTTGAAAACAAAGTTTGTCGTTTATCAATTCATTTTCAAAATTATGCATAGTACAAGCTTAGACGTAAAATTCACTGTGATATGAGCCAAATTTCTTTCTTATCGCATACAGAAATAATTACTATAATTCTACTATCTACAAAAATATATTGTCTGCTTTTGTTTGCATTTTTCATCTTTCTTTACACGCATGCATGGATTTCTGTGAACACTTACTTCTATGAACAATACTCGTAATTTACGGAAAGTGATAAAAGTAGCCAAGAAAAGTGATTCATGAAAAGCTTCAAGCGATTCGCACATTAATCAGTGCTCAAAAATTATTTGACTACTACTGCTTTTTCTGTAATTATTGTACAAAAGTATGAACAGTGATCGAGAATAGGCTGAAGAAAATGTGCAAAATGGACAAAAAAGTCTCAAGGTCAAAGGGCAAAACAGCATTTTTTGGTTGATATATTTATGGTTGATTTGATGTGGCACAATGATGTCACTCTCAATGTAGTACCCTTATTGCACATAAAAAAGCAAGTGAACGGAAATCACGGAATTTAAAAGGATGAAAATAAAAGAAGGAATGATGGAAATGAATACTCAAGAAAAAATCTAGATTACGTTCATTGTCTAGAAACTAGTTAATCACTTTGTAGACAATAAATAGTAATTCATTGTTTGAATCACTTTCTTAGATCACTAATACTGTGATCTTTCATACCAGATTACAGCATCAATCTTTATTGAGAATGCGATGACCAGACCAGTTCTACTTTTTATTGAGAATTTTTGACGAATAAAGTAGTGAGTGGCATGTTCACAATTTTTTTTCGATACATAATTGAATTAATAGATTTGAATTTATTTATAAAAGCCAAAAAATAAAAGTCTGCTCACGTTTTGAGGGATTTACAATTGTGAATGAAGAAGATTTATAATTCCAACATAATCAAATTTTGCAAAGAGTGTATTATTTATGTATCGCAATTATTGAAATAATGATAATTCATAAGTTTCAAGTTATGAAGGATTGATATGATTAGATGCTGTCATATTGTTAACGTCGATGTGTGATTAAAGAAAACGTGATAGCATTCGTTATATCCGATTAATTATCAAACAGCAATTTTTAGCCGTGAACAGACGTTTTCCAAATCTCTAAAAAATGAAACATTCACTTGTGGATCAAAATGAATCAGTATCAATATATTAATAGATTATTATTTAATTATTAAAGTATATTATACATATGAATTAACATATTTACTATATTATGAAGTATTTTAATGAAAAATATACTTCAAACCAGATGTTACAGCGCAGTGACAGATAGCTTGCATAGCAGCTGTATTAAAGTTATTAGAAATTGCGCACTGCTTAATCTTCTTGATTAACACCGCATCCTGTGGGAGATTAAGGCCACAACTAAAGCTTTATCAGTGATAAGAATAGCTTTGCTTTTGGTTTTGCTTAGTGCACAAAAAAGTAAGTTATTTGATTGTGTAAATGAAAAAATTCTTTTTATGAATACTAATAAGAATAGTCAAAAATTCCAAATCTTGCTCAAATATCAGTCTAACTTTTTACTGAATATGCTAATGCTAGAGAGAAAAGAAACTTTTTTCGATTAGGACATTGTGTGTTTGAATGTTCTACGCAATTTTTGACACACCGCAAGAATTGCTGACTAGCAGTTATGAGGGGTTGTGCTCGAGATGCCATGTCTGTAACACAACTTTTTTAATATAATTAATAATTTGGATTAATTATATTACGAAAAATGATTAATATTAACATGAATAATTAACAAGTATGCAATATATATTTTAAGTTTATTTTGCTTGTATTATTTATATTTGTACAAAATTAAGCAAAGTAATGCTAAATGCGTAATGGTTGTTTTGAACGGATTTTACAGATTTAAAAGAAAGGAATAAAATTAAAAGTTGAACCTCCGAGGTCATTTTTGAATTGATTTGCTGCAGTGATAAAGATTGATTCCAAATACCTTTTCTCAGTGGTATGACCTGAGTTCATGGCGCAACTACGAAAATATTATTACATATTTTTTAAACGATCAAATAATCTAGAAACTCTGATAATTTATTTTCAATGAATTGATAATCAGATAAAAGAATTTTAATTAATTAAAAGACTTAATGAATGAAATTTTAATGATTATTATGAATATCAGCAATAATACAAAGTTTTTTACAAGCCATAGAAAGTATTTTCGGAGCAGTTAATTGTTTTCACAATTTGTGGTTCGAATTTCAGAATGCATGTTCTCAAGATTTGAAAATTTCTTTTCATCGTTCGCGTTTGCTTCTGTAAACAGCAACTTACAGTCTATTTGTCATGTTCTTTAGGTTAATATTTTGGTATTAATATTTAACCATTTCTATAAATTTTCAAAATCGTAACATTATATTATTGCTTTATTATAATTATTTGTTAGTACGAGAAAAAATATGAAAAGTTTTCTACTGGAGTCGTTTATACTTACAGTACTCACTTCTAAAATATCAGTTTTAATAAACTTTTTTTTACTTTCTATTTTCAAAATTTAAATTAGTTAATTTAGTAATCTCGCTAAAATGCTTATAATAGTACGAACTATAATATGTTAGTGTTCGCCATTTTCTATTCATTATAATATTTTAAAAAAAATACAGTACTTGGCATTTGTCAACACATGGCTGTAGTGATCGTCCCAATGCTTCACGACATGGTGCAATTTCATTACACGTGCAATGAGGGATTAGCTCACTTTTTGCTATCGTTTCAAAAATTACAGTCAAAATCACTACTATATATTGTCCCTTCATAATAATTGTTTAACTGTCTGGGCAGATAAGATGATTTTAACAACAGAACTTCTATAAAATTCTGTAAAAATATCGTATTAAAGCAATAATAATAATTATTATTATTATTATAATTAATAGTTATTAATAATTAATAATAATAATAATAATAATAAAACAATATTGACAGTAAATACTAATAATGATTAATAATAATAATGATAATAATGTAAATAATAACAATGAATAATGGTAATTGAATGTGATACGCGTTATAAACGATAGATAATCCACGTTTAATAAACATGTATATCTTAGCTTATAAATTATCAAAGATTATCGTAAGTAATCTGTATTTTTGTACAAGTTTTTACAATATACAAATTAATCCATTAATCTGTTTTATCTAGCAAAATATAAATTTTTCAAGCAAGTAATTTAAAGAGTGATACTAAGCTATGCAGTAGATAATCCAATTTGTGTGGTATTAGTTTTTGTAATTCTGTAAAACAAAGTAAAAGTACTGAAAAATAAATTTTCAAATAGAACTTTCAAACTTATTTTCCTTTTCAAATAATACCATTAACAGAATGACGATAATGTCGTCCTTACCGTTATATTAATAGTTCCTTACTTTCATGTACATTGCACAGTACTAAAAGTTTATATTATTAGCAAGCAGAAAGTAATACTCCAATTAAAATTTAATTTTGAGACATTTTAAAATGGATTTGCGACTTAAATTGCCGCGAACGAGAAGAAGTAAAGTAAGAAAAATAATTGAGCACTGCGAAAAATAAATTATGTACATAGTTTTTTTTTTCATATCAAAGTAAGAGGTAATTCATTGAATACCTAAAGAAATAACTTTACTTTCTGTACTTTAGCAGAGAAGAAGTTATTAAGTAAGTTAAGCTGGAACTTTGCTAAGGAAAACTTTTTTTGCATGCAAAATAATTTTTACTTTTAATTTAATTATAAAAACAATTAGTTAATCTTACTCAGTGCGTTTTCAATGCAATTCACTGATTATAGATAAATCCCAAACAGCTATTTCAAATAATAACAGTAATAAATAATAATAATAAATAATAATAATTATTATTATTATCATTATTATTATAATTCTGTATAAATATCATATTATGAGCGAATATTTGAGAATAGATTAAAAGTTGTACGTTAGGATAGGTAATTATTTTAATGCAGTCATTTATGCATTATGCATGCCAAATTGTAAAAAGGAATAAATAATATAATAATTAAAATAGTTTGAAATTTATTATTGAAATGAATGAAATAGAATTTGGTTGTTAGATTTTAACGAGTGAGATGAATAAAACCAAGATAGTGTATTTTATTTAAAGAAAAATGCATTTTATAGCGAAATTTTTTTGCGATATGAAAAGATTTTGTCAATGAAAACAAATGATTTCCACTGAGAGACGACGCATTAATTGAATAAAATTGAGAAAATATGACAACGAAATGACCTTCAGCATTTTCTTTAGAAAAATTTTTTTTGCATATTACTCTAATTAAAATTTATTTATTTTTTGATTAAAATTATTTTTTATCATTTTTATAAAGTAAACTTATTTGTACAAACACTCGTAATTACTTACTTTCCATTTTATACTTCTTTAAATAAAATTGTCATTTTTTTTTTGCGTGAAAATTACTCTTAAACATTACTTCTGGCCATCTCTCTCTATCAATCACTACTACATCATTGTTATTTTTTATAGAAAATTATTTTAAACATTTGCTTTACTTATTTTGTGCAAAAAGAAATTACTTCAAAACACTTGCCTCATTTATTACTTTTCTAACAAATACAAAAGCAAGCATTTACAGTCTTTTCAACTCTACCATTCAACTAAAATTAATCACCTCTATTCTCTGAAAATGACAATTTTCAAAAAGTACACATGCAAACAAGTTATTTTTCAAAGTCGCAAAAAAGGCAAAAATTTATTATTACTACGCAGTTATGTTTGAAAACTGTATACCATAATGCAAGATAGACAACACTTTAAGTTATGACCGCAAAAATAAATTTGTATTACAAATTATTACGCCATATTTAATCATACTACTAATTTCATGTTCAAAATTTATCAAAAAATTGTAAAAGTACCATTTTTTTTATTTTTTCATTTTTTTATTTTTTCATTTTTTTTATTTTTTCATATTTAATATCGTATTTTTTGTCGAGTATACAAAATTTATTAAATATTTCACAAAAGTTCAAAAATTAATTCTTTTAGCGAACAATTAAATTTGTTCTTAATTCTGCTACTCTTCTGGAA